CTCCCAGCTCAGCTGTGTTGCAGGAAGTGCCAGGAGGAGGAGGAGGAGGAGGAGGGCGCAGGAGCCGGAGCCGATTGGATGGCGCGCGCGCGCGGCTCCGGCTCCTGCGCCCTCCTCCTCCTCCTCCCAGCTCAGCTGTGTTGCAGGAAGTGCCAGGAGGAGGAGGAGGAGGAGGAGGGCGCAGAAGCCGGAGCCGATTGGATGGCGCGCGCACGCGGCTCCGGCTCCTGCGCCCTCCTCCTCCTCCTCCTCCTCCCAGCTCAGCTGTGTTGCAGGAAGTGCCAGGAGGAGGAGGAGGAGGAGGAGGGCGCAGAAGCCGGAGCCGATTGGATGGCGCGCGCGCGCGGCTCCGGCTCCTGCGCCCTCCTCCTCCTCCTCCCAGCTCAGCTGTGTTGCAGGAAGTGCCAGGAGGAGGAGGAGGAGGAGGAGGGCGCAGGAGCCGGAGCCGATTGGATGGCGCGCGCGCGCGGCTCGGCTCCTGCGCCCTCCTCCTCCTCCTCCTCCTCCCAGCTCAGCTGTGTTGCAGGAAGTGCCAGGAGGAGGAGGAGGAGGAGGAGGGCGCAGGAGCCGGAGCCGATTGGAGGGCGCGCGGAGGCCGGTTGTTCCTCCTCCTCCTCCTCCTCCCAGCTCAGCTGTGTTGCAGGAAGTGCCAGGAGGAGGAGGAGGAGGAGGAGGGCGCAGAAGCCGGAGCCGATTGGATGGCGCGCGCGCGCGGCTCCGGCTCCTGCGCCCTCCTCCTCCTCCTCCTCCCAGCTGTGTTGCAGGAAGTGCCAGGAGGAGGAGGAGGAGGAGGGCGCAGGAGCCGGAGCCGATTGGATGGCGCGCGCGCACTCACCCTTACAACCGGCCTCCTCCTCCTCCTCCTCCTCCTCCCAGCTGTGTTGCAGGAAGTGCCAGGAGGAGGAGGAGGAGGGCGCAGGAGCCGGAGCCGATTGGATGGCGCGCGGAGGCCGGTTGGATGGCGCGCGGAGGCGCGGAGGCCCCGCCCGCCCCATTTACAAAACGGGCGAAAGCTCGTAAATACTGTGGGAGTTGCTGTTTCGATATTTAAAAACCCTTCCGGGTTTAAAAATGTGTTTTGAAATCGCGTCGGATATGGTAAAAATAACGAATTAATAACGAAATAACGAAATAACGAACCAAAACCCACAGGCCTAATATCTAACTGGCATTGAATGTTTGCCATATATTTGTGCATTGTAATCCACCCTGAGTCCCCTGCGGGGTGAGAAAAGCAGAATATAAATACTATAAATAAATAAATTGTAGCAAGTGGGCAGAAATGCACTACCGGTTCCTGGCAATTAGAAGAAAAATTGCTGGAACACATTAGATAGCCAGAGAAGCACTGATATAAACTACAGTTAACAACAATTTAGGGTTCAAACTGTGCCTTTCTCTTGATGGTTGTGTTGGAGGGCATGTGAAAGCGTGTGAACCCAATACTTATTGTAAGTTGTTCTCCTCATGCTAAATTACGTTTTAATGAGGTAGCACAACAACATGGCCAAAATCTTATCGACCATTGGCATTGCAAAACAAGCTTGAACTGCTGATAGGTGAGTACTAGATGTGAGCCAATTAATTGTGATAAAAAAACTGGGGTTTTTGAGCAACTAAAGTCTCTGGAGACCAACCAGAAACTAGCAATGCAAAGTGAAACCATATGGGTTGATGTAATTAAATCTTTGAACTTCAAACTGTTATTGATTAAAGGTAGGCTTCTTTTCTCCCTCCTTATTCCTCAGATGATGTGATGGCTAAATATATTTCACAGTAATTGATTTGGGGCATTGCGCCTTTGCACAAATGGAAAGTTTATAATGTCCCAGATTTCCTTCCTTCTCTTTACAAAACATTTGTGCAGATTTGTTTTGTGTGTTGAATAATGTTGTTATTCCCTGTTATGTGCAGACTCCAGTGCAACATCCCCTACTGGGCTATTCTCAAAGACTAAAATGGGGAAGCACTTGGTGTTGCCTTGTATTGTATCTACACACTAGCCTGTATTGCATACTCCAATTAGGCGTGACCCCTCAAGTTTGTTTAGTAGAATGCCACCAGAGGTGGTTTTCACTGGAGATACTACATTAGAACTTAAGGCCTTATGCCTGCAAAAAGACATAAAGCCATTGAGTTGCAAGTAGAGATTTGTCACACTGACTAGGAGAAATTTCAGGGAGTTGTAAACCAAAAAGCAACTTTGTCCAATTATGGAAGTTCTTCAGTCTGCAAGGAAGACCAGACTAACACCTTGGAAATGAGTCGTCTGTTTTTTCATGTACAGTTTTTCAGTGCAGTTTGAAGCATGTTTACTAAAAAGAACACTTGAACATTATAACTAATGCTTGGTAACAGTTGTTACCAGTGGTGCTATGGATTTTGAAGAGGCAAAAAGGGAGAAACATGCCAAGAGAAAGACACATCTAGCAAATCCTTCTTGTGACTGCATTCCTCCTGTGAAAGACTGTGTGGATCCAGAATAGATCTTCACAGTAATTTATGGACCTACCACCAACACCATACTCTGCCATGAGGGATTGCCTATGGTGATGACTATGGTTGGATCTACACTGCCATATAAAATCCAGATTATCTGCTTTGAACTGGATTATATGGCAGTGTACACCCATATTCTATTCTATTCATTGTTAATCCACTCCTTTGGGCTTCTCACATCTCTAGCATTCGCAAAAATATGTGATCCTGTGATTTTCTTTTCCATTTCTTGCCGAATAGCTTAACCATTGGTTTGTCCTATCGAATATGAGGTCTGACCAAGTACTACTTGTGGTCTCTTGGTATCCAGTTCATTAATTGACATGTCCACCAGTTGTCTTCGTGCTCTATGCCCTGCCCATCTTCTTTTTGCCTCATAGATTTCATTGGCAATATCACGTACCCTGGATTTCTTAATTGCTGACTTTATCTCTTATTGTCATGTCACACATCCTTCTTTCCATTGCTTTCTGAGTCACCACAGTTTTTCCTTCTCAAACTTCGTTGTTGCCCATATTACAGATGCATATAACATTGCTGGTAAAACTGTAGTGTTGAAGATATCTGCTCAGACCTTCAGTGCTTATCTGTTAGCACTGTCCGGTTTCAGTTAAAAGCCATCCAAGCAGCCTTGTATCTTCTTGCCCATTTAGTATTTGCCAAATTATTAGACTGTTCTTGTTGTCCAAAATATACATATTCAGTCACTTCCTCAAGGCAGACCCATATAATCCAGTTCAAAGCAGATAATGTGGATTATGTCCTTCAATAATCTGGACTATATGGCAGTGTAGATCCAGCCTAAAAAGCACGTGCCATGAAACTTAGAGGGGCCGGCTGCTTAGTATGTGATGTCTTTAGGCCTAGCCTTTCCCTCATCTGATCATTTCATTGTTTGGCCTCTCTTTGGGGTGAACTGTTCCATTTGTGCTGTGTTTTAGGGGTGGAGCTTAAAATCCCCCTAGAGGCCTGGCTCTGATGGTTTAGCCCTGCTGCCTCAGAATTTGTTCAAAAGGTTTTTTTTCCTCCACTTTCTGGGGCAGAGATTTTTAGAAGAAGGCCAGAAATTGTCTGGGTTTTCTTGGCCTGGCAATCTAAAACAGGCCACGTACATACCTCATAGCTAGTATATACCAAACAGTCTCCATAGCCTAGTATATACCACAGTGTTATTATAGCTTTTTATTCTTACCATCATTACAGTATTTACCATATAGCCATAATTGTAGTATATACCTCATAGATTCTCATAGCTGTATTTACCAACTATACAAACCTCATAGATCTTTATAGCAGTATATACCTCAGAGTCACCATAGCTGTATTTACCACCAGCTTAGTGTATTTACCAAGAGTATTTACCAAATAGTCATTATAGCTTGTACTTCACCATTTTAGTACAGTATTTTACTTTAATAACCAAGTACCTTACTGAAACCAATTTAGTCCAGTATTTTACTTTCAATAACCAAGTATTTTACCAAGTGGCTTACCACAATTATAGTCAAATATTTACCTCATATTCTATGAATATAGTCAAGTGTTCATTTCCAGTGTAACCAAATTCAAGCAACAAACTTTGTCTTTGTAATATTTATTTTGATTCGCCTTTCAAGAACTCTGGCTGAAGTTAACTTTGCCTTTTGTTCCAGTAAACTTGTTTAGTTAACTTTAATCCTGTCTCAGGAGTCTTTATTTTAAAGAACTGAAGTACATCATCAGGTATACTGAAAGCCACCGGGGAATAGCCAGTCATATAGTTTTCCTTTCCCCCCGGTGTGCCATCACATAGTACATATGCTTATGATAGCACTGCTGTCAAGAGACAAGTTCAAACACAGTGTTGAGTCACAATTCTAAATAATTTTGTAATAAAACGTATTCCAAAGAACTCAACCCATTTGTTTCCATCTAGGTTCCTCAAACCAGTGGAGTGGCTAAACTAATCAGAAACAGAACATGTACCATGTCATCCAAACGAGGATCCCTGGCTTGCCAGGGATTTAGAAATCTTACTTTACAAATAGTGAGTAGGTTGCAAGCAAGAAGCCACCCACCCAGATTCAGATGGCATGATAAACTTTCAATTTTAAATTCGTTTAGTTTAGTTTAAATTAGTGCAGGAGTGAACCAACTGCATTTAGCAGTACACTGATGATTATTTCACTGCAAGTCAGGTTGGAAGTCATGCATCTGTTCCCGATGTTGTTGAACTAGAGATCTCCGAAGCCCTAGTCACCATAGCCATTGGAGAGCAATGCTAAGAGTCCAGCATTTCAAGGGATTCCTCAATATGCTTTACTAATTGCTATGCTGAGTTGTAGTTCAACATCAACCAGAGTTGCTGCACGATGTCCACCGTGTCAAGGGATCTAAGTTTCTCACCCTCACTATATAGAATGTGAATGTGGTTTTGTGCTCTGTAATGGATTACTGTGATCATCACATCTGATAATTTGACCTTGTGTTCCTCACCCATCACTACCTCTTTTGGTTTCCAGACAAAGAATTTGACTGTGGATGGCCATTTTGGAACCTGGTCAGAATGGAAGTCTTGCACACACACGGATGGCACCAACGTAGGCTTCTGCCTCTGCAGAACCCGCTTGTGTGACAACCCAGTACCACAATGTGGGGGGCGGCAGTGTGAAGGGCCAATTGTGGAGATTGTCAACTGTTCCAGGTAGGACAAATATAAATGAGGAGACCTTGCTCTGTTTGGAATGCTTTCGGTGGACTGGTGATATTAGAATAAGACACATTTTACTTGTGGTGCAATCATCAGACAAAGTAGACAAGTAGATTGTGTTGCCAAAAACATAGCTACCTCCTTACTAACCTTACTACATTTCCCCCATCAGGAGCACCCCAGGTCCAAATCTGACACTTAGGTGTGCCTCCTGATGATGTTACAGTGAATGGTGGTGTTATTAGGCACAAGACATTGTCGACCACAGATTTACAGATCATGTAAATCAAATAATAAAACAAATCTAATAAAGTTCTGTGGTTGAAAATTAAAATTTACAAGCACAGCATGGTTGGGAGGGAGAAACACTTTCTCAGATCTGTTTGGAACCTTTGCAAACTCTGCTTTTAAGGGCACACTGTGGTCCAATTAAAGGAGGTTTTTTTTAGCACTGGGACTGTGGCGCAGCTGGCTGGGAGTCAGCTGCATTAGATCACTACTGACTGAAAGGTCATGAGTTCGAAACCAGCCCAGGTTGGAGCGAGTTTCCGACCATTGTGTAGCTCACTGTCAGCCTTTGCAGCCCGAAAGACAGTTGCATCTGTCAAGTAGGAAATTTAGATACCACTTATGCGGGAAGGCTAATTTAACTAATTTATGATGCCATAAAAATTCCAGCAAACATGCAAAGAATGTGGAAGTACTCCATCAGTGTCACAAATGGATGGTGAAGCAACAGCTCCCTTGGTGGACAGAATACCCTCATGAAGCTGGAATGTTAAATAGCCTCTGTGTGTCTGTCTATATACGTTGTGTGTCTATGGCATTGAATGTTTGCCATGTATATGTACATTGTGGTCCGTCCTGAGTCTCCTGCAGGGTGAGAAAGGTGGAATATATATACTGTAAATAAATAATAAATAAATACATTTAGATTGCTTTGACTAGGAAACAGTTGATAGGAGCCACTCCAAAACAGCAGGGAACCCAAAACACAGTGTGTGTGTGTGTGTGTGTGTGTGAGAGAGAGAGAGAGAGAGAGAGAGAGAGAGATCAAAGATGTTGCTTTCATTTTCAAATTCCTCCTACTTGCACAAAGGACTGTAAAGGACAGGCCACTCCCTTAGAGCTAGGAACCCCACTCCTGTTGTATCTTGAATGCCCTTCCATAGCAGTTTTGTAGTACTGCTCTTCACCTTGCTTTTTCTTCAGTTCTTCGGATGAGTGTATTAGATAAAGCGTGACAGTAGGGTGTTTCAGTCTGCATAGTCCTCCTTATCTATTTCCTTTGCAGCAGGAGGGGCTTGAGAGTGAAGACTGTGAAAAGAGAAGACACTTTGATTTCTGGAGAGAATTTTATCCAGCCGCAGCAAATGCACTATTTGCCTTAACCAGTATAGGTTGAGCACCCCTTTTCCAGAATTTTAAAATTGACTACATAGCTGAGATAGCAACAGCTATGAATATTGATGTAAACAAGCTTTGTTTCATGCACAGTATTTAAAATATTGTCCAAAATTACCTTCTAGCTATGTGTATATGAAACATAAATATAAATGTGTGGGGATGAAACATAAATGAATTTCTTATTAAGACTCTGGCCAATCTTCAAGATCTCTCTCTCTCTCTTTCTAATGCAGCAGCTGCTGGTCAATTTAAAAATAATAATAGATACCAATAAAATTGCATTAATTAAGGCATTAGTAGGTTAAATGTTTTGAATATTTACATAAAACTGTAATTTAAGATCAAACTGTCAAACTCTGATCAAACAATTATTCTAACCTTCTTCAATGTAAATAGCCTTCCGTATCCTTCCAATAATAAAAAGAGAGTAAAATAATAAATGTAATCAAAATAATAGTAATAGAGTAAAATAATGGAAATGTAATAATAATAGTAATAATAGAGTAAAATAATAAATGTAATAATAATAAATAAAGTAAAATAATAAATGTAATAATAATAATAATAATAGAGTAAAATAATACATTTAAAATAATAAATAACCTTGACTCAAGTATACGCCGAGGGGGGCTTTTTCAGCCTTAAAAAGGGGAAGAAAAATCTAGTATATTTAGTATATATAAACCAAGTACCAAAAATCTGGGGGGGGGGGGGGAATAAAAAATGCAAATTCCTTCTTATCCCAAACATTTCATGTATTGTTTTGGGTGATTGATAATCTAGCCACAAATACTGTAATAGGTTTTGATAATTTTCCACACCATGAGTCATGAAGAAATGTTACTTTATAAATGCACATGGATAAGTTTTGTTATTTAATGCTGATTGCTTCATGTTTTGTTTGTGACTTTAGAATTATCCTATCTCCATTTCTGAATATTAATTAATAGTTACGGTCCTGGCACTCTCTTCAGTTTAGAAACACAGATCTTCTTAGTGTCGTTTATGCTGTATAAACGTACTCTTTTCCAATGTAGGGTAATCCTGCATTTGTTCATAGTAAGTTATATTTAAAGTTGTTTGTTCTTATTTACATTCAAAAGTTTTATAACCCTAAATCCAACTTAAACACTGAGTTCCATTTTTATTAACAGTTTCTGAAATGTAATACTCCAGGGTTCCTCAGTAGCAGATGGGATGGATCAGATCCTTCTGGCAGAAGAGGACAATGTGTGTAACATTGCTTAGTATCTTTCTAAAAACCTCACCAATATTTGTTTTTTTAAGTGATGATGTAAAGGATGCTCAAACCTTCTTTTCCCATTGCCTGCTTTGTTGAGGTTTTCCCCAAACAGCTCTCCTTGTCCCTCTTCACTGCAGGGCTGAAATATGTGGTTTAGAAATGACTCGTCTTCTTTTTGTTTTCCCTGTTATTTTTCTTACAGGAATGGAGGCTGGACTCCCTGGACATTGTGGTCTCCTTGCAGTACCTCCTGTGGGATAGGCTTTCAAGTCCGCCAGCGTTCCTGCACAAACCCAAGCCCTCGACATGGAGGCCGTGTCTGCGTGGGACAGAACCGTGAAGAAAGGTAAAACATTTCCCCATATCATTTGCTTCCCTTTTAATATTTTTTCTCTCTCTTTTATTACCCTTTCTTTGTGAAATTCCTTTTCTGTGCGCCCAGTTCATATCTTGACTTGCAGATTCATTGCTGTTACCAAGGAAATAAAAATACAGTTCAGTTTCCAACTTTCATTTAATGAAGGCCTCCCAAAATCAGCATTGCAAGGAGGCTGTGCTTTCCCCCCTCCAAAACTGATGATGGCTACCACGTATCTGCATGCAAAATAATCCAGTAAGAAGTTGTGTATGGCTATAGTACTGTGGCCCCATTTACACTGCTATATAATGCAGTTTGAACTGCATTACAGGCAGTCTCCGAATTACAAACATCTGACTTACAAACAACTCATAGTTAAGAATGGGGTTGAGACAACAAGAAGTGAGAGAAATCTCCCCTTTGAAATGGAAATTCACTCCTGGAAGAGTTATAATGTGGAAAAGGTGCCTCCACTGAAGTGTTAACACCAATCCTTGTTTCCACAACAAGCCAATTCTTTCAAAATCCAATTATCACAAGGTCAGAAAGTGAGGTGAAATGTTCTGAACAGGGGCACAGACAGCAAAACAAACATCACAGGGATATTAACCGTCCTCTATGCTATCCAAAGCTTGTGTGTGTGTGTGCAAAACACACACACATACATATACATATACACTTACATACATACATATCTAGAGTTACACTGAAAATGTACCTGTTCTGACTTCAAATTCAATTTAAGAACAAATCTACAGAACCTCTCTTGTTCGTAAGTTGGGGGTTGCCTGTATATGGTCAGTGTAGATTCATAATGCAAACTGAACTGCATTGAACTGGATTATACGAGTCTACACTGCATATAATCCAATTCAGTCTGTATTGTAATGGCAGTGAAGGAGAGGCCTGACTTTTTGGCAAGGGTAAGCTATTCTTTAAAACTTTTCTTCAACCTTGTCTCTTCCAAGTGTTTGGGGATACAATTTGCACCAGCCCCAACTAGCCAGGATCAAGGATTATGTTGTAGTTTGACATCATCTAGAAGGAGCCCCCCGTGGCGCAGTGGGTTAAACCCCTGTGCCGGCAGAACTGAAGACTGACAGGTCGCAGGTTCGAATCCGGGGAGAGCGCAGATGAGCTCCCTCTGTCAGCTCCAGCTTCTCATGCGGGGACATGAGAGAAGCCTCCCACAAGGATGATAAACATCAAAACATCCAGGCGTCCCCTGGGCAACGTCCTTGCAGACAGCCAATTCTCTCACACCAGAAGCGACTTGCAGTTTCTCAAGTCACTTCTGACACAACAAAAAAAAATCTGGAAGGGACCAGTTTGAAGAAACATTTTAAACCCCTTCAAAATCCAAGAGAATGCTTCCAAGGAGCTCTCTGCCTGCCTCAAAAACTGAATGGCAATGGTTCCCAACAAAGTTTACACTAGGGGAAAAAACAGATATAGTGTGCTGTTAGCAGAGTATGCTTTCCCAGAGGGTTATGTGAGATCCAACACTTCAATGGCCTCTATTGAAGTTTTCTGCTGATGACGGATAGATGCGAATAGATATGTGGGAGAGAGCAATGGCTCAATGCGAGTGGGCTGTGTATGGATGGATATGTTGGAATGGAGAATAGAAGAATGGCTCTGACTGTGTATGAAAAAGGGGGGATGGGGTGTTTTAATGAAGAAGAAAGAACATGGTTGGTATCACTAGCATTAGCCTCCTGACCTCCCCCAAATTATCCCAAGTGAACATATCCTATAGACTTCCCTTATCTGTGGTTTATAGTGTTGTCGTCTTCAAGCTTTTTTGGATCGTGCAGAAAACAAACTGAAATAATTTACATAGGTTTTAATAGATTTAACTTTGAGATGTTCCATTGCTGTCTAATTTACAGTGTAGACTGCAACTCTGAGGTCAAGCTTGTGCTCAGCATACATTAAGTTTCAGGCTCAATCCTCAGTAGCCTTTCCTAAAGTAATGTGTTTGCGGAATTTGGGCAGGCTTCACGGAGATACCTTCATCTTTGTCCTCTGAGATAGAGAGGAAACGACAAGTGGTACAGTGATTCTTTGTGCCTGACATTATTTCTGATTATTTGACTCTACTTCAGCTCCATAAAACAGTCAGCCTTAACAGATTATGTAAATCATGTTTATTGATGCTGAAATGAAATATTGTTCCTAGACTGACAAATCAGCAGAAGTTACAACACAAATGCGTGTACTCAGATGAAAAAGAAGCAGATCATCAAATTTCCATTTTGTGTGCAGGTTCTCAGGAGGGATGGAAAGAATATTCATCATTATTCATTCCCATTTTTAAAAAGGTTTATGGACAGTTGGAAAGTTTGTTCAGAAATTTCAAAGTGCAACAGAGGGATTATTGTGTGCAATAAAACATTTGGGGATTTCGTGCATAAAACCTTGTTTTCTACAGAGAAAATGGGTTTTCTTTCGAAAGGTTTTTGTGTGCACCAAACCAATACATTTTCTCCCCAAAATAATTATTTCACATTATTTTAGGATGTTAAAATACAGGCTCATTTTCTGTTGTAGCCACTGTGATTATGTGTCCAAAATAACATAGCCTTTGGGTTGTTGTTGGTTTTTCGGGCTGTATGCTATGTTCTAGAGCATTCTCCTGACGTTTCGCCTGCATCTATGGCAAGCATCCTCAGAGGTTTGTGTGGACCTCACAACCTCTGAGGATGCCTGCCATGGATGCAAGCAAAATGTCAGGAGAGAATGCTTCTAGAACATGGCCATACAGCCTGAAAAACCTTCAACAACCCAGTGACTCCAGCCATGAAAACCTTCGACAATACAACATAGACTTTACATCCCTAGTGTACAGTATATTAATCTTATTCTCATGTTATTACCAAAGCCCACTCTTTACACATTGTTATAAAGTTTATTACATAAAGCAGGGTTGGCTGCTTCTCATTCTAAAGCCCCCAGTGAAGCTTTATGAATGGTCTACCATTTTAGCCCCCAAATAGCAACTTGTTTTCTAAATATATATTTGTCTCTCCTGAGCTTTCGTGTGTGTGTGTGTGTGTGTGTGTGTGTGTGTGTGTGGTGTATCAGCTATTTGGGCCAGCTGAAATTTTTGAACACATTTCAAAGGCGGCCCCCATGTAGAGTGCATAACAGAAATCCAAGTGGGATGTACCCAAGGCATATACCACAGTGACTGGATTGGACCTTTCTTGGAACAGATGCAGTTGGTGCTCTAGCTTTAATTGTACTAAAGCACTTCGTGTCACTGCTGAAATGTAGGCCTCCAGGTTCAGAGTTGAATCTAGAAGCGCCCCAAACTACAAATCTTTGTTTTTAGGGGGAATGTAACCCATCTAGTGGGATGGAGCCTACTTCCCTAATCTATCTTTTGGCTGAACAGGATCACTTCTGTCTTCTCTGGATTAAATTTTAATCTGTTTGCAGTCATCCGGTCAAGTACAGCTGACAACAGTTTACCATAGGAACAATTTTCTTGGAATTGGGTGGAAAGAGGCAATATAATTGGATATCATAAGCATATTGAAGACACCGCAAAACTCCAGACAACCTCTCCCAGTAGTTCCATGTAGATGGTAAATAGCATAGGGACTCCACAGCCCAGCTGCCAAGGAATTAAGCAGAAATCTCCAAGACCACCTTCTGGGAAAACCACTTTAGGAAAGACAGAAGCCATTCTCTAACAGTACTCTAGTCAACATCGCAAAGAAGTAACTCAGAATAATACAATGGTCTGTGGTATCTGAGAGGTCCAACAGAAACTTGGGTTGTGCCTCCATAGTTGAAGTCATGAAATATTTGGCAACAGTAGAAGGTTTCTGAATGCCACCTAGTGACTGTATTAGACATTTGCATTAATCTGTTAGCAACAACATGTAGCAAATGCTGATTTTGCTTGATGGTTTTCTTTTCAGTTTCAGAAATACTTCCCTTCACATTTTGATTCTAAAAAATGACTTTGGGGTTATAAACCATGCTCAATTGAAATCAAAAACATCAGTTGTCTGCCATTTAAAGTTAAAAAAGAAATTGCTTGCAACCTCTGCATGAAGGGAAGGGTTAATATTTATTTATATATTTATTTATGACATTTATATGCCACTCTTCTCAGCCCAGAGGGGACTCAGAGCGGCTTACAAGATATATACATACAATATATTATATTATGAGCATAGTACATTATCAGTATTATCTATTACTATATTGTACTGTACCATTATATTGTAATATAAATATAAATAATACAACCTATTTGGGTTTTTTTGGGGAGGAGGCTAAGGATATGGATCACATGCATATATGTGAAGAGAAGGGGCATGATAGCCATGTTTAAATATTTGAAATGATGTAACATTTGAGGAGGGGTAAGTTTGTTTTCTGCTACTCCAGAAACTAAGACATGGAACAGTTCATTCACACTGCAGAAAAAGAGATTCCACATATACAGTAGGAAGAACTTCCTGATGGTAAGAGCTGTTTCACAGTGGAATATGCTTCCTTGGAGTCTGAAAGAGTCTTCTTCTCTTGAGATTTCTAAACAGAGGCTGGTTGGCCATCTGTTGGGATTACTTTGACTTGGTGTTTTTCCATGGTAGGAGGTTGGACTCAATAATCCTTGTGATCTCTTCCCACTCTGTGATTCTATGATACTATGATGAGAACAAGAGGGAGGTTGATGTGGGTCAATTTCAAGCACATGGCCCACTCTGTAACCTGGGACCTTTTAAATGGGATGTATTGACCCAAAAAATACCCGACTGTGGTCCCCCAATTCAGGAGGAAAAAAGGAGAGCCAACAGAGTATATTCTGCCACTTGAGGCTGCAAACCAAGCAAGGCAGTATGACATGGAGACAGGCCTGTAGCGAGGGGGTGGTTTTAGGGGTTCAAACCCCCCCGAAATGTTTCAGATTTTTTTAAAAACCTGGTTTACTCATGAATTTTAACTGGTTAACCAAATCCCCATGCTAA